CCGATGCCAAGAGAGAACCCTTTAGTTTGACTTTGCGATTTCATGATTTATTACTAATAATTCCTTGGGACTTTCTCCTTCAACTTATGGTGAGTCGTGCTAAATATGCTAGTTTGACTGCTAATGTTAAATGCCAGTAACTAAGAAAAATAAATAAAATGCAGTTAAACCTTGTTATTTGATTGTTACCAAAAAAATGCAATGCGGTTTTGTGCGATGTGCGAGCTGCTCCTGTTGGGTACTTTGTACCCGTAATTCCCTGGATTGCCAAGCTTGCTGTAACAATGAAGCTTACTCATCCTTAGACAATAGAGCCAGTGATTGATGCTTAGGAGCTAAGCACAGGGAGTACTAAGCATGTGTTCTAGACAGTGCTTAGAAATGCATTTAATAGGCTAAGAGTTGTACAGGTAGCAGGAAAGAAAAAGGAAAATTTTGGAGTCAAACTTGGCTTTGCAATTTAGTTACATGCAACTGGACAGTCAGTTTAATCTCTTGGCCTCCATTTTCTCATTTGTGCAATGAAGATAAAAATCCTTGGCTTTAGGTGTTTAAGAGCAAACAAAACATGGGTAATCCCCTAGCATTTGATGTTCACATTATATTGCTAGCAACAAGTAGCATTTTCACAGGCTATTGCTGCTTTATTATTTTTTAAAGCCAGGACAAAATTAAATATGATCTCCTGTTAATTTAGCTAAAGCTCTTTGCCAGGAAATAAAAAGAACAACAAATACCTTAAGACCGAGGAAAATCTCATTATTTAAATAAGCCTGTCAAAAGCAAGAATGGAAAACAATTTTAGAGTTGAAAAATACAAGATTTTCCATAGCTGCTCCCTGCCGTCATTGTAAAATGACCTTTGGACTAATGCTCCGATATCCTTAGATATGGGAGATTTTATTATTATTCATGTCATCTGGTGTGAGCCACGCACAATGATTTAACCTTGCCTGCAACACGGGGCCCATGTCCCATGTTCATAGTATCCCAGTAGATCTGTGACTGAAACACCTAGCCACAGTGATAGGAACAGAACTGATGGAGCACACGGGGAAGAGTAGCACAGCAGAGGGAACCGAGTAGAAAGAGTCAAAAACTCAGGGTGATCTTGAAAGAATTGGGAATGCAAGTTAAAATAACGGCTGGTGCCAAAGTGGCCAAAAAAATGCTAACTGGGATGAAAACGGTAATGTCATTTGTGAGTTTTGATCTTTTAAGAACAACGGGTAATAAGGATATTATAGAGTGTGGGTGGTGAGCCAGACTGGGAAGGTAGAGATCATGGTGAATGCAGCTAAGGTTGTAGAGAGTGTGAGTAGACTAAACAACAGAGACCCAGAGCTGCTCCTTTGGTGAGAGGAGAGAGAGAGA